AAATGGGAACCAAGGGGAATAATTGGTGCGACCACAGAGGAAATCCACTTGAGCTAAACGAGGCTTAGAAAACCTTTGACGATCTCCACGTTTTTTTCTGGATTTATCAAGCAGGATATGCAAATGACTTCAGAAAAGAAGATTAGTCTCAAAGTTCAGTTTCTTTCTATTACATTTCACTAGCAAACCTACAAATCTCTGATCTGGGAGCTGAATGTACATGCATTTTTATCACAGGAAATTTACTAATAATAATTTACTAATAATATACAAAGTATCCTCTTCTGCTGTCCTTTGTCTTATCACTATGAATATATTTTTAATTTTATTTATTATATTTGTATATTTTTATTTAAATTTTATTTAGTTTTTGTCTAGGGCTTGAACTCGGGGCCTGAGTGCTGTCCTTGAGCCTTTATGTGCTGGAGGCTAACAGTCTACCACTTGAGCCACAGCACCACTTCCAGCTTTGTTTCTGAACGGTTTGTTGGATATAAGAGTCACCAACTTGGGCTGGGAAGGTGGCTCAGTGGTAGAGCGCTTGCCTTGCATGCATAAGGCCCTGGGTTCGATTCCTCAGCACCACATAAGAAAAAAGAAAAAAGCCGGAAGTGGCGCTGTGGCTCAATTGGTAGAGTGCCTTGAGCTGAATTGCTGAGGGACAGTGCCCAGGCCCAGAGTTCAGGCCCCACAACCAGACCCCCCCAAAAAAGAGTCACCAACTTTTCTGCCTGAGCTGGCTGCAAACCACAAGCCTCAGTTCTCAGCCTCCTGAGTAGCTGGGATTACAGGTGTGAGCCACTGGTGCCTGGTCACTGGTATTTTTAAGGCAAAAAAGTTAACTGTTAAGTTTGAGACCCATAACGCTACCCCCTTCCCATTCTAAGTTCTGATGTTCAGTCATCACATGACGCGTTAGGATGCTCACACCACTCACATAACATCAGCTTTCCTCTCATTGCTCTCAAATTTGCCATTTCAACAGCGGTGTTGGAAATTTTAACCAGAGAGCCACACAAGAGGCCATGTCTAAAATCAAATGGATTTTTTTTCAATTGTTTAATTCAGTATTTCTAGACATAAAATTGTGGAATAGTCTCAGAAATGCACTGGCTGATTGCTATGCTTCAGTCAGCCAATATACATGTGTGTGTTGTTCACAAGGGCTCGTGTGCCAGGCAGAGGGAGGCACGGAGCCGAGTCAGTGAGCAGTGTGAGGGGTGCAGCTAGTGTCTCCGTGTTGCCATCTGTAATATGGGAGGAACAGCAGTACCTGCCTCCTTCACCCCACCACTGAGCCGACTGAAGCCAACGACAGCGCCTGTGTGGCCCATAGCAAGGGCTCTGCTCTGGTTAATGGTGAGGATGAACTGAGATCTCAACCCCCTGAGAGCTCACACACCTGAGAGCTCGCACCACCTGAGAGCTCGCACCACCTGAGAGCTCACACCACCTGAGAGCTCACACCTCTAATGCTGAACTGTTGTTATGTATTTCCCTGAAGAAGCCTCTGCTGGCTCTTTAACCACTAAGCAAGGCCCAGACCATCCACAGGACACTCGGCTCAGCCCCGGGACTCTGCCAAGGCAAGGCCGCTAGGTCTGGACAGACAGGAGGACAGGAGAATGAGTAGACAGGAGGACAGGCGGGCAGGAGGACAGGCAGTCATTTTAGGGGCCACCAGCAAGGCTGCAGAGCTCCCCACCAGAGGGGGCGGGGTTGGCTTCCAGTGGAGGCCACGTTAGAGGTCCGTAGAGGGGACAGGACACACAGCTGATGTGATTTCAGAAGACTGGCAAGAGCTCAAAGCAGGAGCCCAGGTTCAGCGTGCGAGATGATGCACAAGTCAGGCCTCAGCTTGCAGCCTTGGAGTTGGACAGAGCCTTTCTGTGGGAAACGAGCAGACAACACTGTGCGGGTTTTATGGTGTCCAGCAGGACTGAAGGCTTTTCACAGCTGGCTCCTCATCCCTTTCAAGCGCAGCCCTTGCAGGCCAGGGCTTGTGTCCTCCAGGCCCAGAAACCTAAGGTCCACCCACTAGAGGCAGGGAAAGCGAGCCTTCCTATCTCGGGCTCCAGGAGATCTGTGAGCCCCAATGGGCCTGGCTGTATGCTGAGGTGGGAGAGAAGCACTCCCTCTTCCCTTGGGCTCCTTTGTGCCCACATGGATATGGGGACGAATCTTCCTGAGCAGAGCCCTGGGACCTGGGACTCAAGGGAGTTCAAGGAGCTGAGTTTGCTGTAGCAACTTGCAACAACAGGAACAGAGTTTATGAACAGTGTTTCTTGGGTCTGGGCATGGTGGTACACAGCTGGAATCCCAGCTTCACAAGAGGCAGGTGGAGGTAGGTAAATGGAGGTCAGCAAGAACACAAGTGGGAGGCCTTATCTAAGCAACACCAAAAACAAATAGAGTGTCTGCCTAGCCAGTGCAAAGGCCTCAGTTCAAAGGCCAGCACCTCTCAATCTTATCTCCTCTCCTCCCCTCTCATACTGTTATGCTTGACTTTTATACACTTAATGTCACATTGCTGCTAATGCCAAAGTTGTTTATGACCATTGGCAGCCTCCATTAGAATTCTAGGCAGGACCCGCCTCCTTTCCAATGGATGATTGATCACCCATCTTCACCCTTGCCCTTTGTGCAACTGGGGGGGGTGGTGGTGTGGTGAGGTCAGAAGAGAGTTGTCTGACCTTCAGTAAGCCTTGTCCTGTGACCCAGAACTGAAGGGGCAGCAAGTATGGGGAGGGTCCCTGCCAGCTATCTCTCCTCGGGACAAATGAAACTGCCAGGGACATAGGAAATCTCTATTTGCAAACGGCAGAGCACTGAGGAGTCGGGCTCGTGGAGGGTGGATAGAATGATGCACAGAGGTGAGTAGAGATGGCAGAGCCAGTGGGGAACATGTGCGCTCACACCCCAAATCCTAGAGTGCTGGAGTCCACATGGACAGCAGAGAAGCCACACTTATCCTAGGAGTCACATAAAGCCCAGATGTTAAGCCCAAGGCTTGGTCGAAGTTACTGGGTCCTGGGCCTCCCAGAGTTTGGTAATTGTCCTCATTGGGGGCGGGCAGTCAAGCCAAACTTTTAACTGGTTGAGAAAAAGAATTTCTGAGACTGAATTTCCATCCCTCAAATAGCATCTTCCAGGTCATTTAATCTACATGTTCTGTTGGCATTTAAATGCTTCCTAAGCACCCGATTTGCAGTTTATTTTTTATTCACAAATCATAGACTATATGCAAATGCCAAAAGCCCAGGCATTTTCCAGCATGGCTCACACGCGCCCTCTAGTGCTGAGATTTCTGCATGCACTAGCCATGCCACCAAGAAATAGTCCTTTAACATTCCATTTCTCTATTCGTTGAAAAAAAACAACAAAAGAAATTCTACAGCTATAAACACATCCTATTCCCCCTCCTTAAAAACCACATGCCGACATGTAAAAAAATTAAAGAATGTATAATATAATCATCAGAACACATTGTAAAGTAACTTCTGCTTGATCCCAATGAGCACATACTATTCTGAATGTCAAGAAACCTTTTTACAAGTCAGCAAAGTAGTAATGAACAGTTTAAAATAAATTATATATTTTGGGTCCAAACTTTTCAGCATATCAATGACTGTTTAAACATCAGCACATTGTCTAAATCCACCAAATCCTACTGTAGAAATGCCTGATGACTGATTTCTCCCTGAATTTGGTGTTTATTAAAATACACATTTTCACCAGATTCCTTTCTGCCTTCACTGTGTCACCCAAGGATCTGAACCTGGTGACCCATGGGCCAGTTGTTCTGGGCTGTGCAGGTAAGATCTGTTTACCTTTTCAATCTTTGTGGTGGACACTTCAAAATCCACATCGCTAGCTTCTCCTGAAGGAACAGCCACAACGGGCAATGGCCGCGCCCCGTCCACACCTGACAACACACGTCCAGCAGCGGAGCAGGTTGGCCTTTGGTGGAGCCTTGCCCTGTTCAGCCCCTGCACACCACGTCCCCACCAGCCTCATGGGTCACTGGCCTGGCCCAGAGTGCTGAACCCCCTTTCTGTCCTTCCTGAAAAAGTTCTCTTTCGAATTCTCACAAGTATGGCAGGATCATCATCCCCCCAGGCTACACGAGGCTCTCACAAGGCCCACACCAGGCCGCATGAGGCTCACACAAGGTCCATACAAGGCCCACATGAGGAATACATGAGCCTCACAGGGCCTACATGAGGCCCACATGAGGCCTACACGAGACCCCCACGAGGCCCAAGCCAGGCCCGCACCCACATGAGGCCCAAATGAGCCTCTCAGGGCCTACATGTGGCCCACACAAGGCCCTCACGAGGCCCACACAAGGCCTACACTAGGCCCACATGAGACCAGCATGAAGCCCACACAAGGCCTACACAAGGCCAATACGAGGCCCACACGAGGCCTGCTTGAGGCCCACACAAGGCCCACACAAGGGCCACCTGAAGCCCACATGAGGCTCACACAGGCCTACACAAGGCCCACACAAGGCCAACATGAGGCCCACACAAGGCCCACACAAGGCCAACATGAGGCCCATACAAGGCCCACACAAGGGCCACCTGAAGCCCACATGAGGCCCGCACAAGGCCCACACAAGGCCAACATGAGGCTTGCACAAGGCCCATATGAGGCCCACATAAGGCCCACACAAGGCCTACAGGAGGCCTACAGGAGGCCTACAGGAGGCCCACACAAGGCCCACACGAGGCCTACAGGAGGCCCACACAAGGCTCACACAAGGCCCATACAAGGCCCACACAAGGCCCACACAAGGCCTACAGGAGGCCCACACAAGGCCCACACAAGGTCTACAGGAGGCCCACACGAGGCCCACACGAGGCCCACACGAGGCCCACACGAGGCCCACACGAGGCCTACACGAGGCCTACATGAGGCCCACACATGGCCCACACAAGGCCTACATGAGGCCCACACGAGGCCCACACAAGGCCTACATGAGGCCTACACGAGGCCTACATGAGGCCCACACGAGGCCCACACATGGCCACCTGAGGCCCACACAAGGCCCACACATGGCCCACACGAGGCCTACATGAGGCCCACATGAGGCCTACAGGGCCTAATACGAGGCCCCACAAGCAGATTGTTGTAATGAACAGACCAAAATCCCATTTGTGTAACACACACAGGCCAGGGACAGCACAAAGGAGGAACATGGCAATTCGATTCCTCTAGACTTGATTGAGTACCTTTGTGTCCTTGAATCATCTCTGTTCCAACAGAGATCCACGCTGTGGCACCCACCCCGCCCATGCCAGGACGTGAGCCAGATCCCAGGAGAGGGCAGCAACTGCAAACGGCCCACACAGATCCTCGCGGTGACTCCCAACCCAGGCCAAGGACGTGAGCCAGACCCTGGGAAGGGGGTAAGGTGGGGCAGCACTCACGGGTGTGCTGCTATCGGAGAAGGTGTTCATGCTGACTGAGCTGCTGAGCTTGTCCGAGGAGATGGACGGTGGCGACGGACTCCTCTTCTCCACCACATCTTGTCTCTGCAGGTGCTCTCTCCATGCCCGCTGAATGCTGCAAAAAACCAACACACCTGTCACCCGTGCCCAGGCCCCAGGCTTGGCACTGCACCAGAGGAACCAGCCCTGAAGACAGATAAGTGTGACACACATGTGGAATGTGGGCTAGGGCAGCAGAAGGACAGTCTTGTCCTCCATTCTGGCCACTGGGACTCTACTGACCTTTACACACTTCCCTGGGCCAACGTGGTCTAAAAGAGTCAACTGAGTCAGAAAAGGCCAACTCGGTTAGCACCCCTGTAGGTTCTTTGCTTATGGGACCAAGCAAATCTTTCAGTTTCTCATAAATGAGAATAATGAAGTGGCTGATGGCTATATATTTGTTTGTTCCATCCAGGATCACCAAGGGGCCACTGGGTGACAGAGTCAACCGTTGCCCCTGGACAGGGACCTCAGCACACACCCATGGGGCTGTCACTCCTTCAAGACATCCAGGTGAGGGACAGACATCTGCCATGCAGTGACCTCTGGGTGGGCCTATGCTGAGGACAAGCATGAGATCACTGTGGGCGTGGATGTTACATTTGAAAGAAGGAACAGGAAGTCCGTGGGGGAAGGGAAGGAAGGGAGGAAGAGAGGAAGTAAGAAAGCAAGGGAGGAAGGAAGGATCAAAGGAAGGAAGGTACTGTGAATTACAGTGCTCAGGGAAAAGTCCAGAAGCTGCAACCAGAGGTCAGACACTGTCTTTTGCTAGAGAGAGGCTGGTTCTTTGAAAGTGCTGGCAGGCCTGGCTTTCCTGCCGGACCGTGTCAGGAGCTGTGCATAATTGGTGCAGGAATTGAGAAGGATTTTTAAAGGTCCCTCCCCCCAAATCAAAGATGCCTCAAGCTCCACTGTGGGAGGTTCTGGCTACTCCTTATTGCACCACATGGCATCACATCGCACCTCTGTCTGATTGTGCAGTGCTTGGTCTGATCCAGTTTTGTGGTTGGTTTAAAGACATTGGCAGTCCTGCAAGGTGCCCTACTGAGGCTAGTGCTGTCATGATTTCTTCCAGGGCTATTTTATTAGAGAAGCAAGCATTTGGAAACTGTTAGTAAAGCACAGGTCTCCCAAGTTCTGTCCCATAAGCTACTGCAGACACACACACTGCTCTTCAAGAGCTCTAAATGTGCACTGCTGTAAAGGGGGTGAGAAATGAGGAGACATCCACACAGGCTTGTAAGCCTGAAAGCCATTCTACCGACCCTCTCTTTCTCCTCGAATGAGATTCCTGTGATGACCCAGAACATGAAGACAACGCAGCAGCAGCAGCCTTTTTCAGAAGTATTACATTTTTACCTCGCTGAATACCAGGGGCTGGTGTCACACCTTTAAAGAACCAAAACCAGCGTAGTGAGCCCGCGGTCTGCAAAGCCAAGCCCCCCCCTTTCCTTCTTAGTTTTATAGAATCTGGAGATTGGTGTGTCAGTTTTCCTCAGGGCAGAGATTAAGAAAACAGTATTCTAAGCAGATATCTTCTTCTTTAACTGATGAGAGAACACAGTATCTTTAATACTTTTCTATGCCCATCAGATTCCCTAATACAAGTTTTGTCTGAGTTTTTTTTCTTCTTTTGGAGGGGGAGGAAAAGTACTGGGGTTTGAATTCAGGGCTTGCTAGGCAGGCACTGTACCACTTGATCCACACCTCCAGACCTTTTTGCTGTGGTTGTATTTGAGTTATGGTCTTGTTTCTTGTAGGGCTGACCTGGGCCCCAAGCCTCCTCTTTACCCATCACTGTAGCTGTAGTGATGGGCATGCATCTGTCGAGATGGGGTCTGGTCAACATTTTTGCCTAGGCTAGCCTGGAACCACGATCCTTCCAGCCACAGCAGGCTGCCTAGCAGGCATGTTGGTACAGGCCACACCTCCGGCTTTCACAAGCTTTCTCTTTTGGCCTGCTCTGGCTTTGAACCATGATCCTCTCAAACCCAGCCTCACAAGTAGCCAGTGGCATGTGCCACAGACACCCAGAAGGTTCTTTTATTTTTGAAGACTTAATTTACAGCCATTGTCCAGCTATATGGAAACAAATTTGCTTACATATAATATCTTATTCTTTTTTTGACCCTAAGATGACACTATAAACATTTTCTACCTATTCTTTGTCTTTCACAATTATAGTCCTGAACACTGCACAACAGGCAAGGCATTGACTTTAACATGGTTAAAAATAACAGCAGACATCTTGGGAGCCAATCCTCTAATATACACACCTGGCCAGACACTGAACATCCAAACTATGGCTAAGCCAGCCGCTGCACCAGTGCTCAACCCAGGGCCACGGCCACCCCGGGTACATGAAGAGAAGGGTCTGCCTCACGCAAAGCTCATGGACTGAGAGCTGGAAAGCAAAGTGGGTGCTGGAACCAGGCAAAAAGAAGAAATTAAGATTGGATGGATAAAACCAGCTGCTGTGGTAAAGAATGACAAGAAAATAAAGAGACATGTGCTAACCTCAGCTTTCTTCCTGGACACCAAGACTCGATGTGCCCATGTTGCTAGATTTGGTTATCTTGTATTTGGAAAAAAAAGTCTTCAAATAATTCCATAACATCAAAGAACAAATAACTTGGGGCTAGGAGCATGGCTCAGGTATTAGGAGTGCTCGTCTAGCAAGCATGAAGTCCTGCCCACTGCCGAAGCAACAAAACAAAACAAGAACTAGGGACTTGACCACCAAATTCGTATTCATGAAAATCTGAAAGTTCTAGTCAGAGAATAAACTTTTCTAGCATACAAAGATTCATAATTTCATGATCTATCATTTAAAAATTAAGTAAAATAAGGTGGTGCTAGCTATAAAGAAGCCAGCCTGAGTTGAAACTCCAGTACTGAAAAGAAAAAAAACCAAACAAACAAGCTAAGTCCTAACAATTACTTTGCATGTCTTGCTCAGCCCCAGGAGGACCAGCTGTCAATGACCACCCACTCAAATGCAGATGCTAAGGTCAAAGATCAGGAGCCAGTTGCTCGGTATTGCTACCACTGATACATCTTCCAGTTCTTCTGGAATTTTCTGCAGGTTTCTTCACCAATCCCAAGAGCCACCTTGGCTCCAAGCACCTGAGGTCCCTTGTGGACGAGAATGGAGGCACCTTGGGTCCTTGGTGTTTAAGTAGCACTTTTCTTTATGAAGAACACTGAGAAGACACCTCAGAAATAAGGCACTGTGTCTAAGCAAGAGCCACAATATGATGCTACTAAAACCTCACACAGAAGTGTGTCCGATACAGCCAGCCCCAGGCCTCCACCTAAGCAAGGACTGGTCGCCCACAGCCTCGCCGGATGTGAGGACAGGAAGGCAAGGCTGTGTGTGGCTCCCTGCTCTCAGCAGTACTGGGGATGTGCTAAGCAGGGGACTGCAGGTGTGTTCTCACATCACTGTGTTCCTCAATGAGCTCAATGACAAAAGCTTACCCAGGAGAAAGTGTGTTTACAATGATAAATATCCTTGTGAGTTTTACTTCTCATTAGCTGTGGCTTTAAGCACAATTCTAACTAACTGGCCTACATTGTACTCATTCACAAGAGGATTACAATAATTTCTTTGCAACTCTTGTGGGGTGTAAAAGATACAATACTCAAGTCAGCCCCACAATGGACAGACTGATTGTGACTACTGCAGAAAAAGGCAAACCCACTGTGCTGGTATCAGGCAAAAATCCCAACTACTTGAGAGGACAAGGTAGCAACATGGCTGTCTGAGGTTAGCCTGGGTAGAAGCATGAGGCCATATCTGAAAAATAAGCTAGAGCAAAGAGCTGGGGCTGGGGTACAGAGGGGTGGCTGCATGGAGTAACCCTGCCCAGCAAGCACAAAGCCCTGAGCTCAACCCCTAGCCTGAGACAGAGACAGAGAGAATCAAATGCTGCCAACATTTTGACTGAACATATGCACATCACATACACTGATCGGATATTCTGGATTTCTGACAGCCCTGGTGGGATCCAATCTGTTATCAAAGAAGAAATGTCAGGAGAGGTTCCCTGGGCTCCATCTCTTCCTTGGACTTTCTCATGGAGATCTCAGGACAGCCCTATGAGACACAAGAATGTTCTCATTCTGTAGAGGACGCCCAAGGCCCAGAGGCCACCAGTGCTTCTCAGGTCACACAGCAGGTAAGGGGCAGAGCGGGGATTTGAACCTGGATCACTCGAATTCCAAAGTCTGTGCTCTCACTCTTCTTTCACATGGTCTAGCAATTAAACTTTGGACTAAAGTAGATTAGCATTGTGCTCAAACAAATACAATGTAATGAGGCTTTATTGAGAGATATCAGTAAAATTTAAGCAATTGTCTTCCTTCCCTAAAGTAATTTTTTTCTCCGTTACAGAATCTAAATGTCTCATCACAAAATCAAAAATATTAATAAGAAAATCAAGAGGGGAAATGAAGTATTTAATGAGTAGACTTAAAAGATGGTTTGCATTCAAACCATCTGTAAGTTAATCCATCAAAAAGAAAGAGATTGCCCACAGCTTTCAAGTGATGGCCTGCACTGGGAAGTTCTGCCTATCTTACTGCAGTTCCAAAGTTGGCCATGCAGTGAAGGGCAGTAGCTCCACAGAGCTGCACAGCCTGGTCTTCATCCAGCCCCACCCACCCCTGCCCTGCCCTGCTGTCCTTCTTCATATAGACTTGCACAGCACACCACCCTAGCTCCTGAGAGCCATAGTCTTAGGACCACTGGAAGACATGACTGCCTAGAAGTGAAGGAATTCACCATTGGCAGGAAGCCTGGGTCACCTTGGTTCTCAGGCTCAGGGAATAGGAGATAGTGCACAGGGCGGAGGGAAAGCATGGAAGGAAAAGAGGGGAGGGAGGGTTGCCAGCCGCAGTACAGGAACTGCCTCCTGTGTGGAGGGGAGGTGTGCATCCTCCCATGGGAGTTAAGAATTTAATAACCAGATTAGACAAAAGTCACTGAACTGGAGGGAATTCTCTGGTGGGACTCAGATTGCATTATTAGGCAAGATTAAATTCTGTCTCCCTCAACCCCCTCCAGTGAGTGGAAATGGGGTTTAGAGTTATTAGAGGAGATAAGAAGCCATTTGTTTGCACCTCACTGAGCTGAGACTCCTCCATCAAACCAGCAGACATGAAATAATGCAATGCCAGCTCTCTGAGTTGGCTGGCCTCAGGCCCAGAGACCTTTTCCTTTGCCTCTCCCCTCCACTCCTGCCCCTCAGCCTCAACATATTGGAGGATATGAAAGCTACTGAAAGACCACGGCATTTTCCTAACTTAATTTCAGCATTCAAATTAAGCACTCCTATTTTTTTACATAGTGACTTTGCTTTCCAGTATTTTTTATTATATTGAACAGGACCTTATCTTAATGAGAAAATCCCTCAGGATCCAGTGACCTGCGCAGTGAATCTGACACACACACCTACCCAAAGGGTTCCATAGCCTGAGCCATGAGGGTTCGCAGGTGTGACACACAGATTCCTGTCAGAGAGCTTCTTAAGACTGTTAATCTGACACAGAGACACAGTGAAACAGAGATACACACAAACACAAACACAGAGAGAGACACAGAAGGAGAGAGACAGAGAACACAGAGACAGAGAAATAGAGACACAGAGATATAGACACAAGTCATCACGGGCAATTTGTTGTCCCCCTAAGCAGAATAAAATGGGAAGGAATCACAGAAAACAATCATAAACCATTTGTGATAGGTCTTTTCCCTACCAGGGAACATTTTTTGAAGTTTGAGATTTTATTTTACAATGGAGTCTGCTTCACTGTCAAGCTTATGAGTTTCATTTTGTTAATAACTGAGCATTGTTGGCATTTCTTTAAAGTAATAGTCATATATACTGGAGAGGGCTCATAATTGGATTTTGTGGGATATGAGAAGAAGTGATGTTTTACAAAACAAGAACTGGAGTGGAAAGAGGAGGAGAGTGTGCACATGTGTGTGCAGATGTATGTAATAAGAGGGTGGCCTGATGTGGAATTACCAGACGGACATGCTAGTGGGCAGAGAAGAATGTAACGTGGTCTGAAAGAGAAGCACCAAGTGCTAGAGATGGTAGTAAGATTTTCCCCGCACGGTCCAGTAGCTGATACTGTGGTCCAAAGTAGTTTCGTTGCTGCTTAAACCACAGAGGAACTGAACAGCTCCTAAATGTAAGTAAAAATTTAAAAATACACAATAAAAATATTAAATGATAAAAAAAGAAAAAATTAAAAAATAAAATGTCCTTAGGAACTCCCAGAGTCGAGATTTGTTCAGTGGGTGGGGACCCCAGAGTAATTATTTAATGTAAACTTTATCATAACTTACATTTTCACCTTTGATTCCAAGGGCTGGAGATTGAGGGGATATTTTTCAATATTGTTCTCCACATCCATGGCCAGCTGGTGACTGGAAACAGAAATAACATCTCAGTCTATCTGAACCCAGGAAATAAACGTGTCTAACAACAATGCTGGTATGCCATATATTTTTGAAGAAGCTGATGTAGACTCAATTTTATTTATTTAAATCTATTAACAGAATCCTAAAAATGTACAATAAATGACCACATCCTTTGTTGCAGTGTCTTTTACTTCTTCTGTCTTTTGACCTTGATCAGAGCTAATGGAGAAAAACAGGTCACACCCAGTGTAGTTTCAGGGGAAGATGAAATATAAGGAGACTGGTCTGTATCTCATAATACCTGCCAACTGGTGAGTAGCAGAATATCTCTTGTTGAGCCCTCCCCTTCCCTGGTTGCATCCTCACTTATCCCCAGTGGAATTCCTGCCAGGTTCCTTTCCTTCTCCATTCTCCATTCCTGAGTTCCCCACATGAGCAACACAGTTACTACTAGTTGGTCATATCAGCTACTACGGACTACAATGGCTGATGACAAGTTAGACCGGGCTGGGTTTTGAGGAGTGGATAGGAAGTTGCTAGACTGAGCATAAACAGTGTTTATGAGGAAATCAGGAAACAGAGAAGCAGGAATGAAAACACCTCAAGGTTATTTTTTAGCAAGCGAAGAGATACTTGGACCAGTGGATAATAAAAGTGGGTGGTAAAAGTAGACAAGGGTGGATGACCACAAGACTAACAGTCACTGGTTACAAAATGTGTACCAAACTCTGTCATAGGCATTTTACATGTTACTTCATTTAATTCTCTCGGTAACTTCTTGTCACTTTTGCCACTGTGTTGCTGAGATATCTCATGAAGTTCAACTCAGTGCTAGAGGAACCACAGTGAAACTTGTGCCTTGCTGCTTTTTCACTGCAAGATACTGCTGGGAAGGTTATGTCTAGCTTCTGATTCTTAATCCTATTAACTGACTGCAGTGTCTAGAGGTCATATATTTTATATTCCAGTCCAATATACAGAGTAGGGGGTGTGTGTGAAACCAGTTTCAAGAAACGTTATTTCTCCAATTGCATACTGATGCATTTTTATTCAATTTTGCAAGATTTTTCAAAACCCAATGGGCAACTATCAAATTTATTGAAAAAAATTAATGGATTATGGTCTACCACGTGAAAAAAAAAACATGAAATAGTTGGAGCCGGGTGAGGTGGTAAATAGGATGTTTCAGGTGGCTTTCCATTGAGTGAGCAAGAACAGTGGAACGTTATTAGAAGGCTATTCAACTTGGCCAGGCAATGAGCCCCAGGATTGTGGTGGCAGTAAAGAAAAGGAAAAGATAAAGGAACAACAACAACGAAGTGTCCCACAGAGCCAATTTCTCTTCTGGGCAGAAGACTTAGCCAGGAAGTAGGGAAAATATGGTAGAGCAGATAAATTCTTGTGTTGCCACTAGGTGGCATCATGAGTCCAAGATAGCTTTGTAGGCCATCAGCCTGATTGTGGAGGGGATGCCCTTGGTATTCGGGGTTTGTTATTTAACCTTCATTAGTCCCTCATGCTACAAATATATTTAATGTGATGAGTGCCAGGAATAAAACAAGGCATGAGGGATAAAATGATGAAAACTCTTGACATCATCCTGTTTAGATGATTTTATAGAATCAGAGACGAAGGTGGGTAGTGAACAAGCAATAGTTGAGGTTAGTGGTGTCAGAGAGAAAACACAGGGGTTCTCTGTGGGCAGCTGGACACAGAAAGTCCATTTTTATAATCCTATGTCCTTATAGTTGCAGCAGCCTTCTAAAAGAATTCTTTAAGGTTCTGTTAAGGGGGCTGGGAAAGTGGCTTAGTGGTAGAGTGCTTGCCTTGCATGCATGAAGCCCTGGGTTTGATTCCTCAGCACCATATAAACAGAAGTGATAAAGTGCTAGCCTTGAACAAAAGAGGCTCAGGGACAGTGTTTGGGCCCTGAGTTCAAGCCCCACAACTGGCAAAAAATTTAAAAAAGGAAAAAAAGATTCTGTTAAGTATATCTCATTAATGATAAATTACCAAATTATCAACAGAGGTATATGTAAGGGTTTCATAAAGCCTGTAGTTACACAATAACCAGTGATAATGGTATAGCACTTCATAAAGAGAAGACATTTATTTATTTATTTATTTTTTTTGGGACCGGTCGTGGGGCCTGAACTCTGGGCCTGGGTGCTGTCCCTCAGCTCTTCAGCTCAAGGCTAGCGCTCTACCACTTGAGCCACAGCGCCACTTCCGGCTTTTTTCTTTTTGCTTATGTGGTGCTGAGGAATCGAACCCAGGGCCTCAGGCATGCAAGGCAAGCACTCTACCACTGAGCCACCTTCCCAGCCCCAAGAAAAGACATTTATATTAGCAGATTTGCTACCTTTGAGGTGTATGTTAAATGTTCCCAGGGAATTCTATGCTACAAACACCTATTGGTTTAAAATTGGCTGGCACGACCCCATTCCATGAGTAAGTGACTGTCTTTAATGAAGTGACTAGAGGTCAGGAGAATGCGGGCCTTGCCATCCAGAAGGACTCAATAATTACCAAAAAAATGGCTCTCAGATTAAGGTCTTCCTTAAGTCAATAGATGATTATCATAAACAATAGAGCCCTAAGTAGCCTCCTAATTAAGGGCCTTACCAATCACTCTTCTTTAATTTTGGGCATGTGCCAAGCTTTAAATAGAGTGTGTGTGTGTGTGTGTGTGTGTGTGTGTGTGTGTTCAAATGCACTCCGTTGGCCCTGCCCATGGCCTTCCATAACATAGACTTGACGTTTTCCCTTCTTTCACCCCAACTCTCTACCTCAACCCCTCATCGAGCACTTAGAATAAATTTAATGTTCCAAAGGGGAATGCCATTCGGCATGACACCATGATCACTTAATGCACGGTCACTTCCAGTCGCTCAGGTGATGCCCGTCAGTGCCCATGTCAGCTGTGGCTATCATGGAATGCCTACTCTGCTCACCCAAAGTACAATCATTTTTCAATCAAACCTGACAGCTTTCAAGGACGCAGCTCTGCCTAGAAGCAGCCCAGAAATCCATGCAAATGGTTAACTACTGCAAATGGCTGCTGGTTTTCATCTCTGTTTGGGACAAGTGGGAAGGGAAAGGCTTCCCCTAAAACCAGAAATTCATAGGTCTGGAACTCCTCAATGTGCAGGGGGGTGGAGGTGGGGGGCTCAGGGAAGGGAGGGAGCAGAAGCCCACACAGGAACCACTAGCTTTCACCCGTCTTCCTGAGAGCAGAGAGCTGGGAGCCATTCAGGTGCTGCTGCTGATGAAGAGGATTCACAGACAGCTGTGGTCCCACAGCAAGAAAAAGAAAACTCGGAGTTCATTTCCTACATAAAAATCAACCATGAAAGATAGCTACAGGCAGGATTAATAAATAAATAAATGTGTGGAGCCCATCCGCATAGCTGGCTTTGAACTCTGTTAGAATCTCCTGAAGGTGTCCGTGGCGCTCCTCTGTAGAGATTCAGGTGTGATTTCTCTAGGCTTGGGGGACAAGCCACAAGCTGGGGCGTGTGTGTGAGTCTCCCAGAGGATGGTGAGCGCAGCAAGGATGGAGAGCTCTGGTCTGGAGCTAATATCATCACATCATCGTCTCTGTTCCCAGTGCCTGCTGAAACTCCCTCGATCCTCTTGTTTATATAGAGCGAGTGGTGCTGGTGATGAGGGATTAAGCTATTTGTTTATTTTTTATGATTTAAATGTATTTTCAACAGATGCATAAAGCCTAAAATTATACATATGCATGAAGTGATGCAATGTTTTGATTTATGTGTGTGTGTGTGTGTGTGTGTGTGTGTGTGTATTGTGTTTAAATTGAATTAAAAGTTATCTGTCTTCTCAATCATCCACCATGTCTATATGGTAAAAACCTTTCAATGTAACTTCTAGCTTTTTGAAATGTAAAGGTCCTTATTGTTGCCTGTGGTTGCCCATGTGACTCCTCCCCTTCAGTGTGCTGACTGACTGCATCTCAGTACCCATATCCACTGGCCAGTCCTTCCCCATCCCGGCCCCAGTCTCTCCCAGCCTCAGGTAACCAACCATCTGCCTTTCAAAACTTTAGATTTTGTACATGAGTGGAGTCAAGAGACAGACATCCACCACCTGTGCCTGGCTTCATCCATGTTGTCACAGATGACACTGCTTCCTTCCTTTTGCTGGATGAGTAGTCTTCTATTCTGCCTGGAGACTACATTGTCTTAATGCATTTTGGCTTGTTCCCACACCTCAGTTATCATGGACTGTGGGGCAGTGGGCACAGGAGTTTGTTTCTTTGGTGGACTGACTCGTTTCTTTTGGATCTAATACCAGGATGGGATTGCTGGATCTGATGGTAGTTCTAGTCTTAATTTTTGGAAGAGTCCCCTTGGTGTTTTAATGATGGCTGAAAGGTTTTCTTCTTTTGTATGCTTCTTAGTGAGAACAGGTATAATAGGAATAAGTTAAATCCACAGACAACTCAGAAAGCTCATTTGATCAAAAGGCTGTATGCGGTAGGTGGTGAGTCTGCAGATCGCTGGAGAAGGAGTGAGCCTGGGGCATCCAAACCCACCCAGATAGAAAGGAAAGGGGCAGTGTGGATTCCAGGGCCTGGACCGCCTCACGCAAAGGTCAACTCTGTCTTCCTAACCATTTTAAAGACAAGGAGCCTGGGGACCAGGGTGGCTAAATAATCTACCCAGACCCACAAAGCTAGGGAAAGGCAGAAAGACAGAGCCAGTCCGAGGACTGCCATCTTCACTGTTGTCATTCTCTTATCAGCTCACTTTTTTCCTCCTTGAGGCTCTCAATGTGCAGCCCAGACTGGCCTCAAACTCACAATCCTCCTGCCCTGGTTGTCCTAGTGTGGGACTCCAGGCATGGGTCACCATACCAACCTTGGCTCATTTCTTAACAAAGAAGTACACTTTGGTCTGGAGCAGAGTGATTCATTAGTCCTTCCTCAGCTTTCCAGACCAAGAATAATTTAGCGTCTTTTCTATAGAAACATTCCCTCAAATATTTCATGATTACTCCTTTGGGGGGTTTCTTTTTCTGGCTACATGTTGTCTGTTCTTACAGTAGTTAATCATAGTTGTGGAATGCTTTTGGTACTCTTAGGGAGACCAGCCTCTTCCTCTTCCACCTCCTCCTCCATCTTTTGGTACCAGGATTTGAACTCAAGGTCTCATGCTGATTAGAATTGCCTCTTTCACTTGAATTATGCCTCAAGCCCTGCTTTTTGCTGGTTTTGAAGTTGGAGTCTAGAAAATGTTTCTGTCAACACTGGCTTCAAATCATGAACCTTCAGATCTCAGCCTCTTGAGTGAGCAGGATTACAGACGTGAGCCACCACCAATGCCCAACTGCCAGGTGCTTTAGAAGAGTGGTAACAAAGGCAAGCATGGTACCACACAGGCCTCCTGGGCCTGAGGATGCTGGGACTTGGCCAGTGGTGGAGAGAGAGGACACCAGATTCCAAACCCAAGCCTGAGATCCATCCTTACCACTCTCTAGCTGAATGTATTCAGTCTGAGATTTTCTGAACTCTCTCTGAACCTCAGTTCTCATCTGCAAAACGGCAATGAGAATGCTTGTATCAAAAGCCCACAATCAGTGTTCATCCAAGGAAATGCTCGTTAGTCTTAATGGTACAGAGTGCATTGTAAGTCTTCAATAGATGACAGCCACTTTTCCTCCCCATAGCTGCAAAACACAGCCTATGATTTTACTCCTTTTCCCTCTACTCTGGCAAAGCTAAATTCTATGATGGGTAGTTAAACTTGAAATGTGGGTGATTTTTATGCAAGCTTTGCAACCTAGCAAGTACCTTGGTTTTCTTTAATATTTTACTTACTTTTCAAGCAAATATTTTCCATCATTCACTTGTTCTAAAGGGTTCTGTAATCTTTTCAGTTCTTCCTATAAAAACAAGAAGGAAAAGAAGTATTTTATCAACTGGCAAATGTACTTCTGACAATACTGAGAATGATCATTAGCAAAATCAACACATTAATAAGAATTCTGGACTTTGTCATGTTCTGTATTTAATGGAATATATTATTGAAGGAGCATTTCCTATTATTTTTTTCAGAGTGTGATATATTTATGTGAATCAACTTACTTTCTTGCCAAATTTACCCTTGTCCAAAGTATTACTAAAGAGGTGATGCTGTTCAAAATATATTGTATTCATAAATTGCTTTGTTAAATGGTAACTCCTTTGTACAACTATTTAAATATAATAATGAAAATGTATAATTTGTTGGTTGATGGAGACTCTTGATAAACTTGCCTCTTGATAAACTCTTCCCTGTATCCACCTTCTTACACACACACACACACACACACACACTCACTCACACAGGCCTCCTTTGAATTTCAAGTGCCTATATCCTTTATAATCCCATTTCTCTTAAATAAAGCTCACAGAACTTTGTTTCCAGAAAGACCACAACCCCCCTAAAGCCTCATCACTACAAACTGCCAAAGTGCCCCACAGAAGTCACAATGAGAATTACAGTGTGCCCAGCTATATGAGCCAAAGTTTTCTCTCACTGGCTTAAACCAATTTCAGCTAAGTTTTCTGGTTGTTTTCAGCCATTGAATTTTGAGAGGTCAATGTGAGACACAACCCAGACCTACTGAATACAAAATTCTACATTGAGCAATAGAAAATGAGTTTGCACATGTGCAGTTGGGTTTGTCTATATAAAAATATTTTCTTAGGAAAAAAAATGGCAAAAGGGAATCAGGGTCTTCATGTCCTTTTTGGTATAGCATGAAGCTTCTGTGTCAGATGTCAGTATAATAAATCTCATCTCAAGAACGCTTCTGTATATTTTGCAAATTATTATTGTTCTTGTAAGAGAATGTGTCTTGATCTACCCATCACACCACTGTCTTTTCTTACACATAGGAATGAAAATTAAATTATTTTTAGAACTTAGTTCCTTTTGATGTACTTGTACATGTCTTTTCATCAATGAGAACTACTTATACATCTTGCAGAAATTATTTACTTTGCCTTGGTGGTTAGGAACTAAGTTAAATGAGATATTTAGGTGCATTCTTTACAGGCTGTTAGCACAAGTATCTCTCCCTTGATTTACTAGATGACATGTGAACACCTTTGTGTATTTTTATTTTAACTTTTTATTACACATCACATGTGTAGAGGCAAACATTGTTCAGCCAGACTATAGATAACTAAGTAGGAAGATAGACACAATATTGTTAAAAGTCAGATAGAATAATTGCTAGATAATAGAATAATAGATGACATAGTTGACAGATAGTGGGCTGGATGGATGGATAGTCTTACTCTAAGCACAAGTCTTTATATCTGTCTTCTTACCCCCTCCATTCCACCTACTCCCTTTAATGTCCCATTCAACCTTCAACGACATTATCAATAAATCCAAGTTATAAACGTGGTTAGTCTTAAAGTCACTTTTTAGAGAGGAAGGGACTTGTTTTAGTGAGTGACTTTGCACATTATTCTGTTAGGAATGATCTTAATTATTCTCAGAAAACAGAGATGAATTTTTTAGACTTTTTTAGACTTTTTTTAGACTTTTCCTTTTTCACCTTCTGCATTAAAACCAGTAGAGATTCAGCCAAGAGCTCTCAGTCAGCCGCAGGCCTTGCTTTGTGCCCGTGGCTGCTCCCCAGGCTGGGGGCAAGGAGGGAGCCTGCCTCTGGTCCCACTTCCATGGCAGGAAGCTTGCTGGGGCGGGGGGGGGGGGCACGGAGCTAGGATGGTGCAATACTTCCTTCAACCTGACTCTCCACGCTCTAGGAAATCATATTAAACAGAAGGTCAATGAGGAACGCGAGCTTTCTGAGCAGCTGTTCCGATGACAATTTGGAGGATTGATTTCATCATTTGGTTATTTAAACTAGCTATCCAAAACACCCAATTCAATTGGCCTGAAAGTTCTTTTTTCTCAGGGATGAATAAGGAAGTCGGCTAAGTCAGCTGACTCACTGGGCCTTGCACCTTGGAGGAAGTTCAGCTTCACGTTTTATCGCTAAACTCTCATAGTACAAACTGGTCTCTCCCATCGCTGGTTTCACCTTCTGGTCCTATTTGTCTCTAGTTCCATGCTTAGCAATGCCATTTTCCTGCCAGAAGTCATAGAAAGCTCCCTGTTGCTGTTACAATGGATTCAGAACTCTTCAATCAAGGTCCTGTGCCACAGGACACAGCTAGCCCATTCCAATTCTACCTTGTGTCCTCTGCCCACATCCCCTCTCTGCTCTGAGGCCATGGCACACAAACCCAGATCCCATATGCTTATAGGGTATCCAGTGACAACCTGTGCTCATCCACTCTTTGGGAGCATGGTCTTCCTCCTCCTTGGTACCTGTCTTTCTAACCCCACAGGAGGACTGGCTACCTGCCCTCCTTCTTTGGCTACCTGCGGTAATCCCAGGTTTTCATGTCCACCTCCTCTTGGGGTTCTAATGACCAAGGACAACCATGAGTCTTGCTCCCCCCACCGATGTTGGGTGTTTAACAAGTGCCTGTTGAATAAATGAAGTCAATGTGCTGACTACGAGGAAAAGTAGCTTTGGAAGCCTAATAGCACCCCTCCTAAGAAGGTTTGTATTCTGGGCAGAGCATTCTCTATCTTTCTCCACTGTCCTGGATCCAGGAGTTCCACCTTTGGGACTTCATCCCACAGGCCCCTTTGATGTCTCCTGGGAGGATTTCATCCAAAAGAGGGCCTGCATAAGATGGAGAAGGCAGAGGAGAGGAGGGGAGCTCAGGTTCTCCCCCCCCCCCCCGCTGGCTGGACACATTCCCTCCCACAGCCAGGCTGCCAAATAACAGCTGTGACCACATTCTCATAAGTGTTCTCATCTCTTGCCTTTATAAGGCCTTTCCTTCCTTCTCCCCTTTCCTAAGGTAAATATTCCTTTGCTTTCTCCAACCCTCTGCCTCTTCTTCCTCCAACTCTTCCTCCTCCTCTTCCTCCCCTTCCCTTTCTTTTCTTCATCCAACTATTGGCCACCCTCAATGCCTTGCACACCTCCTGTGGCTTTCCACACCCATGCTCCCACCTTTGTTGAGAGTTGCTTCATCTAATCTTTTCAGTTACCCCTGAGTGTGTGCATCCCCTGTGTCCACCATGAACCCTGGCCCATGAGCCCAAAGGCTCCTCCATTGCTTTGGCTTTCCCTTGCTTTGCAATTCCTTTTCTATAATCCAGAAAATTCAGTGAATCATGTTAATTATCATGTTAGTCAAAGGGGGTGTGTCTAGATGCTGACTGGCCCTGACAGGGAGCTGCCCTACCCAAGGGCCCAGTGTCACTCGCCAATTATTAGGAGGGTCCCCACCATGCTCTATTTAGTCTCTGTCTGTTTAAATATTTAGGCCCAGCCTCTTTGGGAAGTAAGAGGCTGAACTACTCTGGTACCACCAGCCTTCTAACGGTTCCCAGGTGAGATCCGGTGAAGGCTATGTGCGAGTAGAAGGAAGAGTAGCTGCATCTCCAGGGCCGAAGCTCACAGAACAGCCCCGTCCCACGGTCCTGAGTTATCTGAATGGTGGCTGTGTGTGTGTCCCCTCTGCCTTTAATCCTGCAGGTTTTTCTTTTGTCATAGCACTTGATGTGCCACTAATTCCTTGCTTGCACACAGATATGCAAAGGTAGAAACATGGTAAAGCTTCATTTTTTTGTGAAACTTTTAATAGGTAGTTTGGACATGATTTCTTGACAACGTTTTCTCTAAAACTGGAAGTGAAATGCCTGCTTTTTAAAGACATTCTGGCTTTGCTAATTCTGTAAAATACTTTCCACTGAAAATAACCAGTAACAGTCTCTGCCTTAAATACTGCAGAGAGACTGACCAAGTTCATCTCTGGGGCTAGAGTCAGCGCCTTGAAGACCTGCTGATACTAGAACTCTCTCTGCTTCTGTCTGCCCCGCCCCCGCCCCCCCACCCTCTCCCATCCCCTCTACTTCTGCTGTCTAAACAAGTAGGGCGCATTCTCTGGACATGTTTAAAATCAAAACTGCTTTCCATGTCTAAATGCAATTTCTTAACTTTCCCAGCTTACACTTTGGCTGTTTGGCATTCCACATTTCCCAGAGCACTTAAGTGAACTGGAAATGGGGACACAGTTGGTCATTTGTTTCATTACACAGTTCTGGGTGGCAAAACCTGTGACCCTGTCATGAATCAGTTTGGCTGGGCAGGGGGAATAATTCCATATTAACCTAAGGGTAACTATTTAACAAAAGTGAAATGCTGGAATTACTTCAGATGCTTTTGGCTGTTCAATCATTTAATTAAATATTAATAGGCCTCCTTCCTTCCTTACCACCCACCTTTTTAAAAATGGAAGTGTAGTAAGTTCACTAAAAAAGAGGTTACTCATGTTTGCATAATTTGAGAAAAGTAGAGGACATAAAATCTATACTAATTTTAGCTCTGCATCATTAACCATGAAATATTGATTATTGCTCTTTGTAACAGAATTGATGAAGCTAGCTGGGCTGCTACATCCACATAAGGCGATTCTGATGCTTTGCCCTCATACCTCGGAGGCTGTAAATGATGGCCTGGGGGACAGCCGGGAGCCCACCATTCTGATCCACAGTCTAAAGAGATACATTTCCCAGATTAGACCCAGAACAACCCAGCTGCACTGCCCAACTCCAGAAAATTAAATTGGAGGGAGTCCAAACCTCTGCTGAAATAACTGTGTGAATTACAATGCTTCTGCGGGCTGGGTTATAATGTAAATGTGCTTTACAATTTACTGCCATTTCCCTCCCCCCCACCAGCCCCGCTGTGTGTATGTGGGCATTAATAGCCATCTCATATATTTAAAGGCAAAATGGTACCAAAAGCAATGCAAGGCTCACAGGTTCTCCTTTAGAAAGTGAGAACTAAATCCGTTATTT